GTTCCCATGCTAGCTGTTGCACCACAAGCTCTAATTGGGAACACTTTTGCTAAGAAACAGTAGCACATTGGTGGAACAAAGTACTTGACATAGCTCCTAAAAAGCAGTAAATTTGGGTGAAAAGGCTAGTGTGAGGAATCAGCGACTCTCAGGAAAGCCGGCCAGTCTGGGCTGTGCTGGGGCCTGCAGTTCAATTTGACTTCTGACGGTGGTGGTGCTCTCAGATCCTAAACTGTGGCTTTCAGCGGGGGCTTGGCTCCCAACACAGATTCTTCTCATAAGAGGAAGGACAATTTCCAAATTAGATTTATTTTAGGCATGACTTAGAAGAAGAATGCTGTTCCTAAGCTTATTGGCATCTCTAAATGTCAAAATGCCTGATGATGGCCTGAGATGGCATCATAAGACTTTACTGTTAATTAAGAGTTAACGTGGGGAAGAGGGGTGGGGCTAATCTCCAAAAACACATTTAAGCCATTACTTCACATACCTCAGGATGAATTTGGGAGCTGGGTCCTTCTTCAGAACTGGGATCAGAAGGCAGCCCTGGAAGGGGTAAGGCAGGGAGATCTGTGTTTTGACTCCCTGGATGATTCTTATCCACGAAAATGTGAGAATCCATTGGAATTAAACTTTATGTAAATTAGTTAGGTATCAGTTTCCTTCTAAAATGGAATCGAATTCAACAGCATTTTCTATTTCAAAGTGTTTTGAAATATTATTGTAGAGCTTAGCAGTGAAGAGCTCTATGATAGAATTGAAATCTTTTGGGGAGCAAAAGTGATACAAACTATCTTTGGGATTTGGACCTACATTTGCTTTTGTTCATTCTGAGGGTGACACTCACTGTCTGGATTTACCTAAAATCGCAATGAAGAGGAGGAAAGACGCAGGCAGAAGAGAACTGTCGCCTGCTGGGACAGTTCTCTAAAGTAATGCAGCCACCCATGAATGGGCTTTTAGTATGAGTGCACCTTAGCACAGTGTTATTTATCCCTCATGCTCTGGTCTTCAACAAATATCAATATGAATGTTTCATACATACTGTCTCACATTAGAAGATTGCAAATTGAGCACATAAGTATTGGAATAACTCATGTTTAATCTATGCTGTGCATTTAAATAAATTTTGATCAGTCATTCCACATTCCACATATTTTATACAGTAACATGTTCTGCTTCTTTGTCATAAATATCTGATTGTCTCTCTTAAGCTTCCTAGTGATACAGAAACTCTTCTGACCCCAATTGGAGTATCCAATTTCAATTACTTTCCTTGCAGGTCATATTTCTTTTTTTTTTTTTTTTCAAAAAAAAAAATACATGTTTATTTATTTTGAGAGGCAGAGCGAGAGAAGGGGAGAGAGAGAGATCTTCTATCAGCTGGCTTATTCCCCAGGTCATCTGGGCCAGGCCAAATCCAGGAACCCCAAGAGTTCCATCCTTGCCTCCCAAAAGGGTGGCAGGGGCCCAAGTACTTGAGCCATGTCTGCTGCCTTCCCAGGTGCGTTGGCAGGAAGGTGGATCGGAAGCAGACCAGCCAGGTCTCAAACCAGCACTGCTGATGTGCTGACGTTGCAAGGGTCAGCTTAACCTGATGCACACCCCACAACACCCGCCTCAGCAATCATATTTCCAGGCAGCAAATTCCTGATTGTATTGAAATTCCTGATTTAGAATTTACTTTTTTTTTTAGAGATTTACTTATTTATTTGAAAGGCAGAGTTACAGAGAGGCAGATACATACATATATATATATATAGAGAGAGAGAGAGAGAGAGAGAGAGAACAGAGAAAAGTCTTCCTTCTGCTGGTTCACTTCCCAAATGGCCTCAACAGCTGGAGTGGGCTGATCCAAAGCCAGGAGCCAGGAGCTGCTTCTGGGTTCCCCACGTGGGCACAGGGGCCCAGCCACTTGGGCCATCTTCTACTGATTTCCCTGGCCACAGCAGAGAGCTGGATGGGAAGTGGAGCAGCCAAGACTGGAACCGGCACCCATATGGGATACTGGCACTACTGGTAGTGGCTTTACTCATTATGTCACTGTTTTGGCCCCTAGAAGTTACTTTTACTTTAGCAAACAGTGATGCAGAATTTTTAAATATATTAAGCAAATTTAGTTTTCTCTTTTTTAAAAAGTATATTCTGTTAGGAAAGAGTGACTCAATCTGTGACTCCCAAGATAAAACCACTCATCTAAAATGATCTAATAGCCCCATCTGTGGCTTTGAGCCCTACCTACAAAACCTTATTAGTCTCTGCATAAGCTTCTCTGGAAAGTAGATCTACGATTATGCATAGCTGCCTTTTTTAATGGGAGGGAGATGTACACTGACTAGAAAAATGCTACAGAAATTTTGACTCCCTGCAGGAAGTTCTGCTACAAATAGAAGCTATTCCTATACATTTGGGTTAAGAATTCCAGTTCTAGGCAAGAGTGTCCACGGCCAACATGGTTAATGCACTGCTGGGCTTCTGTGTTTACACACAGAAAGACGTCGCAGAGGCAGGCTGCTTACTTCACGGGTGGGTTCTCCCAACACGTTCAGAATTCCAGATCTTTTTGTCCATTTGCTGAGCAAAATAACCACGTTCTGGAAAACAAACACAAGAACAAGCACAAGCACACACTTCTTTTCACACCTGCTGACTTTCGCACCGAAGCCTTCATGAACGAAGCTTTCAGAATTCATTTTGAGCGTTAACAGAAACCAGTAAAAAAAAAAAAGCATTCTTTAGCATATTAAACAAGATGGTGCTTCCATGCTTCCACCAGGAGCTAACAGAGGAATTAGGTGAGCTGGAGGCCAGCTCAGACGAGGAGGCGACGATAACCACCAGGGTTGTCCGTCGGCGAGTGATTATTCAGGTACCAGCTGCTGAACTGCTGCACGCCAGAGCCAGTGCTGTCCCTGTTCCCTTACGGAGTGACACACCCGGAGCAGTGAGGCTTGGCATGCTCCTTAGGTAGTGCATGGGCGCTAGAAAGCAGATCCCTTAACTCTGTCTTTGTAAAGAGTGCGGTGGGAATGCCATTCGCAACATGACCTCCAGGAGAGCAAACAAGCAAAAGCAAGATTTGGCTTCTTCAGTTCCACCCACACGTCACCTCTTGCTTGTCTGCTTTCATTTGTTTGTTTAACTTTTACCTAACTTTGGTCAGTTTCTCCTAAGCATGTTATAACCCACCTGCTTTTGGTTTGTTTTGTTAACAAACTCCTTGACAGGATTTTGCATCTCAACAATGCTTCTCAACCTTGCTTTGATTTTTTTTTTTTTTAACATTCCTTACATTACAAACAGGTGGGCATGGTTCTTCAGAATCTGTGCTGAACACTTGAACATGACCCTTTTTCTGCCATTTAGGGGGATGACATGCCTGACCTCCCTCCGGAGACTGTCACTGAAGAAGAATACATTGACGAGCATGGACACACCGTGGTGAAGAAGGTATTGTCTAGTGCATCCCAACTTCCTGTATAAAATTGATCAGTGCCGTGGCACTGTAACTCAAATGCAGATACATTGAGGTTGGGATCAGTGATGTGGCTCAGTGAGTTAAACCACTGCCTGTAATGCCAGCGTTCCACATGCGCACTGGTTCAGGTCCTGGTTGCTCCACTTCTGATCCAGCTCCCTGATAATGCACCTGGGAAAGTAGTGAGATACCCCAAGTTCCTTGGTCCCACGTAGGAGACCTAAATGGGGTTCCTCACTCCTGCCTTCAGCCTGGCCCAGCCCTGGTTGTGGCAGCCATTTGGGGAGTGAACCAGTGAATAGAAGGCTCTCTCTCTCTCCCTGTCTCTTTCTCTCTGTAATTGTCCTTTTAAATAAATAATTCCCTTTTTTTAAAAAAAAAAAAAAGATAACATTAAGGAAATATTTTTCAGGTTACTAGGAAAATCATCCGGCGCTATGTGTCCTCTGATGGCATAGAAAAAGAAGAGATTACAGTGCAGGGAGTGCCACAGGAACCTGTCGGCATCACTGAGGGGGACAGCTACTCCAAAGTTATAAAGCGCGTTGTCTTGAAGAGTAACATCGAACAGTCAGAGGTGAGCACACCTAACTCTCCAAATCTCATTCTCTGCCGAGGCACAAAACAGAGCTCAGACAAGATGGATGACCCTGTTGATTCGCTTTGGCCTCACTTCTGCTTTTGATGTGGCCATCTGCTTGTAGTTGCGTATTTGCTTCTGGCTTTCTGGTTTGTTTTTTCATGTGTGATTCTGTATAATTTCAAAATAACCATGAGGGGGCTTTGTAGCCATCACTGTCTTTGATCCATTTTATTTTTGATTGTCTGCTTAATTCATAGTTAATCATAATAGAAATCCAAAAATCAGATTTTACAAGAATAAAATCCCATTTCCTGGAGTCGTCACTGTGGCACAGCTGGTTAACCTGCTGCCTATAATGTCAGCATCCCATATGAGTTTGAGTCCTGGCTGCTCTTTTCGATCCAGCTCTCTGTTAATGTGCCTGGGAAGGCAGCAGAAGATGGCCCATGTACTTGGGCTCCTGCTACCCACATGGGAGACCTGCCTGGAATTTCAAGCTCCTGGCTTCAGCTTGGCCCAGCACTGGCCACTGTAGCCATTGGGGAGTGAACCAGCAGAAGGCAAATCTCTCTCTCTTTCTCTGTAACTCTGTCTTTAAAAAAAAAAAAAAAACCCACTTCCTGGCAAGCAGTGTGTGATGAAAAGACTTGGCAGAATTAGTATTACAGTGCTTGTGTTCAGTCAGTACCCCAACATTCTGAGGGTTGCTCTGTATTAATATTTGTTATTCCATCTTCTGCCATATTAGGGACACTAAAAATCAGATCCAAAACCTCCTTAATTTGTAGCTTTATTTCTAACTCTTTTAATTCCTTCTTTGGGGGAACATGTTAAATCTCCTTGACATGTAACTTGGGAAATTCTCACCTTTTCACATTCATTCACATCCTCAAAATCTTATTATCAAAAACCAGAGTTTTGTAGGCATCAACTTTGTAATTTCTTATAGCTTTTAGAATTCCTTCTTTGAGGGTTAGTTTTAGCTTCATGATGGAAAAAAAAAAAAAAAAACACAAACAAACCCAAAACCATTATCTGTTAGTAAAAAGTTCATCCACAAGTTGAGTTAAATATTGCACTAAACAGCCGGTTTCTTCACAAAACTAACAAACTTTGTTCAAATCACTAATTAGCTTGTTGATAGGTACTGTGGAGATACATCCATTAAATAAACATCACCAACTAACTATGTGTTTATTTATTCTTTTCTCATTCTTTGTGTCTTTCCCAAAATACCTTTCTCTAGAAGGCTAGTATACAATGTTGTACTTTCGGTTTCTTTTAAGCATAGAAAACCCCATTACTTGTTACGTTTTGGTAATCAGACACTGTGTAATGTATGTCCTTCATTCATTAGGTAACTTTGTCTGAACCCAGCATTTTGTCCAGTACCTCACAATTTGAGGCTGAACCAGTGGAAGGCCGTAGAGTCAGCAAAGTTGTTAAAACAACTATGGTGCATGGAGAGAGGATGGAGAAACACCTGGGGGATTCTAGTTTAGCCACTGATCTTCCTTCAGCCAAAGATGACTTTGAAGAGGTATAGAAGCATCAACATGTTGTGTGTTTCTGTGTGTTCATTTTATGTTTGCTTTGTGTTTGAAAGGAACTTTTTTTGTCACTTTGTCATTCCATACATAAATTCATGGAAGGCTGCATTCATTTCTGTTTGAGTAACTTGTATAGTGAGGTAGGATTTCCCCAAACTTTGTTGATTCTGATGTCACCTTAAGAACTCTTAAAGAGGCCAGTGAGCTGAGCTAAGCTGCCTCGTGCGATGCCTGGCAACCCAGGTCAGAGTACTGGTTCCAGTCCCAGCTGCTCTGCCCCCGTCCAGCTCCCTGATAATGCGTCTGGGAAAGCAGCGGAAGATGGCTCAAGTATTTGGGCCCTGCCACCCAAGTGGGAGACCCAGATGGAATTCCAGGTTTCTAGCTTCAGCCCTGGAGCAGCCAGGAGAATGTGGCCATTTCAAGAGTGAACCAGCAGGTGGAAGATTCTCTCTCTCTCTCTCTCTCTTCCCCTCTCTCCCTCCCTCCCTCTCCCCCCCTCTTCCTCCCTCCCTCCCTCCCTCTCTCTCACTCTGACTTTCAAATAAATAAATAAATCTTAAAAGGCAGAGTTTTTACAAATTGACATTGCCAGGATTCATTTCTGCTGAATCACGCCCAGAATCTCTGGAGCTGCGCCACCTTCATGCGTCTGGCTTCAGAGTTGCAGAAGTGAGAGGCACGTGGCACAGCAGGTAAGCCACTTGGGATGCCTGCAGCTCTTCTTAAAGTGCCTGGCTTCACGAACTGGCTACGTTTCCAGTTTCCACTTTCTGCTAATGTTCACCCTGGACATCAGCAGGTGATGGCTCAAGTAATTGGTCCCCTGCCACAGGAGACCAAAATTGAGTTCAGGACTCCTGGCTTCAGCCTGGCCCAGCCACAATTATGGTGGGCATTTAGGATGTGAACCAGCAGATGGAAGATACTTCTCTCTCTCTCTGTCCCTCTCTCTCTCTCTCTCCCTCCCTTCCTCCCTCCCTCTCTCTCCACTTTTTAAAAAATTAAACTTTTTTTTTTAAAGTTGCAGAAATGTCCACATACTCCCAGTGAATAGTGGAAAGCAAATTAGCTTTGCTAATCTATATCCCCAAATATTGTCATTGAAGAAAATTCAGATGTATTCTCTATTCAAACATAGGAAAAATCATTTGTCATTGTTTAAGTTTTAGTTTCCAATAGTTAGGAAATAAGTTTTCTGTGAAAAATTCACACTCTCAACATGATTGCAAAACAAAAAATATTCTAACATCCCAGCATCCCAGACAAATTTTCAAGTTAATTGCAGGCAAATTTAGCAATATATAGTGATGTAAACGGGCATGGAATTACTATGGTATGAAGCTTTTCTGTGCTACATGGAGTAAGTATTCATAGGCTTTCCTATGATAGAAAATGGGTTTGATTATAGGAAGCTGCCTGTGACTTCTTTGTGGTGTGAGGAATGTACAGTACATATATCATATTACCTTTCTAAAGCCAAAAATTCTGAAACAAATCTGATCCCCAGACCTTTGACTAAGGAATTATGAGCACATCCAACAAACATCTGCAAAGTATGTTTGCTGTTGCAACCTTGTGAGGCCAAATGCTAGGTGTGTGTTCTCTGGTGCATCAATATAAATTGAGAACACATATGAATGCTTGGGATGTTAAAAACAAACTTTAAGAACATTTAGTTCTTCACATGTTGACCATTTGCAACCTTGGATTTCAAATGATGAATTATCTGAGTTAGACACTGGGCCCTGTTGGTTTGTTTTTTGCCTCAGACTGTTCTGTTTACCATTAGCACTGTCACTGTAAAAAAAAAAAAAAAAAAAAAAGGAGGGAGGTAAGGAAGGAGGAGCTTTCAAATGGGAGAAATGTTAGGGGGTATGTTAACTAGAACTCCGTGCTCAGATTCTCTATCCCAAGTTAATTTTATTTCTCTATAAGCCACATATTTTCATAGTGACTGTAAATGAGCAAAGCAGCAGTATATTTTAAAGTTTGTTATTTATGATGAGTTTTCTCTTGTTTTCTTTCCTTCTTACTCAGGCTTTGAGTTATGCAGGTAGCCACATGAAAGTCCACTTTCCCAGTTTAGTAGAGAATGAAATCCTGAAAGAGGATGGATCAGTCATTAAAAGGTTTGGGTGAGCATGGGGTGATGTTTTGCCAACTAATACCATAAAAACTTCTCTGATTTTGAGAAGAGAAGTGCAGAGCCCATCCATGTGCCCTGAAGCCCCTCAGGAAGTGCCAGTTCTTCTATATCATAAGGCTTTGGTCTGGTGGTGACCTGTCACTGTGTTGTGCCTAGAGCTTTCTCCTGATGCTTTAAAAGTAACGGTAAGACACAGTGATACTCAGACACTTGTCTGCACAGCCTGACTCCCTGGGTTTTAGCAAATAATCCAATACAGTTGAAGCCACCCAGCTGGGATATTCCATTGCATTGGTAGAGTTGGAAAGCCCAGGATGAGAAGTCTGATGAAATCCTCACCAATTAATTTTGTGATCAGCTACATGCAGCTCAGTCTTAGCAGATCACTTCTCAAATGGTAAATTGCTTATTTCTTTTTTTAACAAGCAGTTTCATGATTCTGCATGTGTGTGACAAATAACATGAGCCTGAGTGTCATACCTGTGAGCTGGAGCATACCTAGTGATGCTGAAACCAAGGGCTTTAGTCAGTTAAGGAAGTATTGTGTGAGCAGTGAGCAGAACATTTTTATGCATAGAAAAGGGGGATGGTTTGGAGTGCTCTGATCTGCCCTGTCTCCCTCATGGATTTGGTGCAGAATATTGGGCCCTTGTCTACTTTTAGCTCTCTTTAGTCCCTGAAGTGGCACTGTAAGCATTAGTATTAATAAAATGTCCGCAGCTTTGCAGTGAAGACACAATGGAAATCCAAGTTACTATTATGCTTTTCATTTCATTGAAAGGGAAAGAAAGATTGTCATTTATAGTACTCTACAAAGCTATTTTAAGCCTCTAGAACATAATAATTAGAACAGCAAAATTAAAGGTTTTATCGCAGTTCTACCCTCCAATCAAATGTGAAAAACTGCAGGAGCTAGGAATTTAAAAGAGTGCAGTTTTTCTCTTAGAACGTTCAAAATACCCCATGAATTAAGGCTAAAATGCTTTCTCTACTCTGAACTTTTAAGTCTTTTATCCAGTCATTTGAACAAAAACTCATAAACTCCACATACCCTGCCATTATGGGATCTTTAAACTGGTATAGACTTAGAGACCAATTAATTTGAAATTCTCAATTACAGCTGGAGAATTTAAGGTCAAGGATATGGACAGCTTGATTGAGTTCCCACAGCTAGTCAGTTATGGAATTTATTTGTGATGTACAACATTTGTATCTTATATGCTGCAGAGGATACTTTGATCATATGCATATTCATAAACACACTCATATATATTTGCCTACACAGAATACTGGAAATGTCCTCTTGTAGAAGTTATTCCTCTGACATCAATAGTTTGAAAGATTCTGTTATCTCTTGGTAGAAATAGTCTGATATAAACATGTCTGGAGGGGAATAAAACACAATGCATGCTGGAGAGTTAGGAAAACACAGTATGATTTCAACCGTTGGAATCACATTCGACCTTTCATCAAGAGGAATACATTTAAGTTTCCTTCCAGATATACAATAATTCACATAGTATCAAAGGAAAGGGGCAATGGAACCAACATGAGCAAACAAGGAAGGAAGCAAGTTTGACAAAAAGAAACCTGGAAGTTTTTTGACTGAAGTAAATCATTTAAAAAATTTCAGTATTATCTAAACAGATATAGAGGTGTTGGAAGGTGGGCAAGACACCCATTTCTGAACACTTGGGATCTTTCAGTAAAGTTCTGGGTAAAGCCTCCGAAGCAGATCATTCCCCGTTGTGGTTTTAGGTGAAGATGCATGGCATGGTGCTTACCGACTCAGGCTTGCACTCTGACTCTCCGTCCATTGCATTCTAACTGTTATTTTTTTATTTGGTGTATGTCATAATTTCCCTAAGATTTAGTTGCCTAATTCAGTAGAATAGTAAAATCCATTTCTAAAATATCTGTGGAATGAAGAATATATATTTATAAGTAGAGAGTGAGAAGAACTGAGAGTGAACAAATTACAATGTCATCATTTTCCGCTGGGGATGCAGAAAAATGGAGTGCTTTTAAACCAATGCAACTTAATGATAACATGAGTTATCCCATGGTTACTTTTTGAGACAACCATTTTAAACAGTTTCATTGATTTGAAGTATTTTTAAAGATTTAAAAAGTACTCCTTGTTCTAAAACATGCTTTGTAAAATCTTATGAGTCAATTCAGAGAGATGACAACATTTCTTTAGTTCTCCTAATTACTTGATGTAGAAGTACCGAGAAGTAAGGCGATAAGTATTGTAGTGGTGGCCCTCATAGCTAGCAACTGACCTACCGCAAGAGAGGAAGAGTGTAATTTTCTCTTGTCTGCTCCCCACCAGGACAACACTGAGTAAAGCCAGTACCCAGAAGAGGGCTGTGGTGAAGGACCAGCATGGAAAACACATTGACTTGGAGCACCTGGAGGATGTGCCAGAAGCACTAGACCAGGACGATCTCCAGCGTGATCTCCAGCAACTCCTCCGCCATTTCTGCAAGGAGGACTCGAAGCAAGAGGCCAAATGAGGAGCTGCCCAATTCTCACACCAGAAACCACACGTTCACTCAGTATGCAACTTCCCATTTCCATACAGGAGTGACGCAACTGGCCTAATTACTGGGACACCCTGACATTTCCGCTGTTAGCAAATATACTGCATTCTGTTTTAATTTTTCCCCATCCTCTTTCACTATAAGCTAATTTGTGACCAAAGATAGCATCCTTCATTCTGGATGCTGTATCCACTACTTTGTTGTGTCTGTGCTAACCTGGGGACTGGCCACCTCCATAGTTCTTTGCTTCTGCACAAGCTCCGTGAAAACTCATTGATCGGAAGAACTTCACCTGCAGACCTCTTCAAGTGACAGTTGTTAGGAATCCTGTAAAGGATATCCATGTACAATGTACATAGCTGAAATGCTCAGATGAACAACATATTAAAATTAAAACCACTGCCTATCATAACTGCATTGGGCATCATGGAATGAAAGGCCTCTAGAAATTGTTGAACGATGGTTGCTAAGATATTGCTAACACAATCGAATGAGAATTCAGTCCTACTGCGCAAGAAGCACTTCAGATCTATTAAGACCTTAGAACTTGCAGCGTAGCCATTGCTCCTAGTTAAAGATGGGTTAATGACTTTGAAGAACTGTCCTGAGAAGTTACTGCTGGTGCTGGCCAGCCATGATTTGTGATTCTCCAGCAGCCACTCTGAGGCAGGGGAAGAGAGGAGCAGAAAGCAGGGTGAAGCAGTGAGATATTCAGTTGCTAGCGGCTGCATCCTGTAGCTTCCTAGCATCTTCAGGTCTCTTAGATCTTGGACACATTGGCAGGGTATTTTACAAGCTATAACTACTATAGTTCTCCAGTTTTCATTGCTGCTTTAGCAAACCATGCTGTCTTACTGGTGGTACTCTCTTCTGGCCACTGCACTGTAGATAATTCTTTGGAAACAAGATTTGCCCACTACTCACAAGGCTAAAGCCCTTCACCATGTTGGAGTGGTTCCTTTTTCTTTTCTCCAGATTTGTATCTTCTCTAATACCTGCATGTGGCATTCAGAAATCAAAACCACAATCCAAACTCTCGTCTAATCACATTAACAGTTTTCCTTCTTCTTACCCTGAGTGAGCACTTTTCACTGTCCAGCTAGGTCTGTTTTTCAGCTTGTTGACAAGATTGAGGAATCTCTGAAAAGTTGGTTTTGGTTAAAATTTTGGGTTTATTTATTTGAAATCCACTCTCCCTTGGAAACTCTCAAGTGCATTCGTGCACTTTTGTATTTGTTTGTTTCAACAAAGGGACTGTATGATCTGAGTGATCTCAGTGTCCTCTTCCTCACTCCTCTAGTGGTTGAAGCTGTGTAGCATTTTAACATATATATATATATAAATATATTCACAAATATATTCAGAAACAGTATACATTTTCAATCAGTTATTTGTTAAAGAAAAGTATATTCAATGAAGATGAAACTTAAAAAAATAAAAAACAGAACCTATCCTCCAGGGATTGAACATTTTCCAATTCTTTCTGGTCTTTTCCTGTTGTGCAAAAATGACTCATCGCTCCGAATGTCAAAAACAAATGTGACAAACAATGGCACTTCATCTTTTAAAGCAACGTTGCCAAGAGAGAAAATTTCCTAGGAGGGAGGTTTCCCATAAGCCAGATCTCCTAAGCCTCAAATGCTAGCACTTTTGGCAGTTGGGTAGGAAATAAGCATTTTTTTGGCAGCCAAAATGAGAGGCCACTGGTGAAACTTTTTTGAGATGCACCACGGCCTTGTCAAAAACTTCACTGGAGCTCAAGAAAAGCATTTCTGTTGTGTTATTTGCAGTGCAGATGATGTCTGTGTAACAACATAATGGCTATTCACCTTTTTTGATTTTGATTTTTTGCTGTGTTATCAAAAAACTTGAATACTGTGAGAAGAAGTGAATTTTTCAGTTGAAGAATCAGCATCTTGTTCCCATGGTGATAACACTAATTGAATATATCTATGAGGGCATGTATTAGTTAATGGAAAAACTACAACACTAACAATACATAGCTGCAACGTGTACAATGGCTGATTTAATTCAATAAAATGTACAAGTGTTAAATGTGGCAACAGTGCTTTGTTCTTTTTTATCATGAATGTGTGATCTTAGGAGAATAAGAGACTATGAAAGAGATGAGATAGATATGAAACCAACAAAAGACACAACTTGCTTTATTTCATATTGTTTTTATTTGATAACTGAGTAGGCAGCATGCCCAGCACTGTTGGAATAAATAGAAAGATTCTGTCTGCCTTCAAGGAACTTCTGTTGTATCATTATGCAAAAGGGGGTGATGGTGGTGGAATGAGGGTTTATTTGCAGTTTTGCGATCACTAGTACATGGTAAATAGGAACTTGGGGAAGATGAGAAGGGGACCACGGTTTGAAAGCACAGCAGGGCAGGAGGGCAGGTTTGCTGTTGGATTTTTCCTCACAGGGCCATGCGCTCCCGAAACGTTTCTGCCTTTGGGAACAGCACTTAACTCTGGCATTTTATTTCTCTCTCACATCCTAAGAATTCAATATTAAATGGAAATGTTAATATAAATAAAATAGGTCAGGGCTATATAAAACTGAAGTCAATTGTGTTTGGTTTGGGCCTTTTTTTTTTGAAAAAAAAAATCTCTTTAATGACTTTTTTCCAGTAGAAACAAAACAAAAAAGGTCTGATTTAGAAACCGGGTAGATTTTATTTAAATATTATCTAGTTTGATATATAAAGCCTACTGGGTTTTGTTTATCTGCATCATAGATTTACAAGACCTTCTGAAATTAAAATACTGGGTAATGCTTGAAATTTTGCAAAGAAAACTGTCTTTTTCCCCCAAAGCAGGAGTGCCTGTGTAACCATCCCACCACCTCTTGTTTGTTTGAAGTGCTGTGCTATCTGTTCTTGGGCACTCCGGGTTGCATTGCCTTGGGTTTTATTAAGATGAAAGAATCAGGTAATATCCACTGTTTTCTCCTGTTTAATTATTTGCTGTGCAAAACCCATTTTTAAAAAGTGAACGTCAGTGATTCATATACCCTTTAACAGCAGAAAATGATTTAAAAGTGGAGTGAAGACAAACCTTCCAGACTGGGGATCATGTATGATCATAAACAATTGCGAATAAGCACATTGATGTAGACTTGAATTTGGAATTAGGTTGCTTGTGAAGTCATTCAATTTTGTGTCAGCGTGGAAGGTCTATGTGTGGGCAGTGGGCACAAGAGTAAAACAGGTAAGAGAAGCTAAACATATATTCAATAGGAACCAAAATAGCGATGCGTTTTCTTAAATGGAAAAGTGATGATCTGTTTACTTTCATTTTGCCATAAAGGAAAAGAAATTGTTTTAAAGAGTTTGCCTTCAGAGACCACCTCTGCTGGAAAACTGCATTCTTCTTCCTTATTCAAGGTAAGGTTTCATTTCTAACCTAATTAAAACCACAGTTACTATCAGAATGAACCACACAATGAAATGTGCAATGCAACTTTACCTCACTGTATAATAGAGCATTTAAGAATATCTGGAGGGATGATGGGGAGGTGAATTTCACTTCTAACTCCTGCACATAAATTGAAAATGCTCCTCTTTGGTTATACTCTGACTTCCTAGGAATAATAAATACGCTGCCCCTTTTTTTTTTTTTTAAAAGATTTATTTGAAAGGCAGGCAGAGTGACAGAGAGGAAGAGACAGAGATCTTCCATCCACTGGGGTTCCCTCTCCAAATGCCTATAACAGCCAGGGTTAGGCCAGTCTGAAGCTTGGATCCAGGAACTCCATCTGCGTCTCCTATGTGGGTGTTAGGAACCCAGGCACTTGTGCCACCATCTGTTGCCTACCTGGAGCATCATCAGGTTGCTGAGTCAAAGGTTGGAGTACCGGCACTTGAGCTCTGGCACTCATGATGGGATGTGGGCGTCCTGAACAGAGGCTAACCTGGGTGCCACACCGCCTGCCACATCCTTTGCTTTAATTCAGCTCCACAAGGTGGAGAAAATGGTACATGTGAATATACATTGGGTTTGTCTGTTTCATATGATACCCAGAGATATCTCTTCGACCACTACAAACATTCACTTGGTGTCCTTCAAATGTTTCTCTAAGAAAATGTGATGGAATGGTTAAATATGTGTTTTTTTTTTTTTTTTTGACAGGCAGAGTGGACAGTGAGAGAGAGAGACAGAGAGAGAAAGGTCTTCCTTTGCCGCTGGTTCACCCTCCAATGGCCGCCGCTGCAGCCGGCGCACCGCGCTGATCCTGGCAGGAGCCAGGAGCCAGGTGCTTTTCCTGGTCTCCCATGGGGTGCAGGGCCCAAGCACCTGGGCCATCCTCCACTGCACTCCCTGGCCATAGCAGAGAGCTGGCCTGGAAGAGGGGCAACCGGGACAGAATCCGGCGCCCCAACCGGGACTAGAACCCGGTTTGCCGGCGCCGCAAGGTGGAGGATTAGCCTATTGAGCCACGGCGCCGGCTTAAAATATGTGGTTTTAAAATAAGGCCTGGATTGGATTCCATCCAGCTATGTCAATACTTGTTGTGCGACTCTGTGAAAGCTTTCCCTCTGGAATACAACTTCCTCATCAGTTAAAAAAAGAAGAGATATTAACAGTTGCCTCAAATGTGCCTCACCACACCAGATGTGGGGAAGGGCAGCTAACCCTGCTCTGTCATCTCCTTAATCTGGAAACACCATGGTGTTCATGGTGGCCTTAACATCTACCACTGTGGACTCATATGACTGAGACTTCTGAAAGTTTATGGTGGCAGGTGTTCTAACACAGCAGGTTAAGCCACCACCTAGAAAGCCTGCGTCCACATCAAAGTGATGCTTCAAGTCCTGGCTCCTCTGCTTTCTGCTAATGCACCTGGCAGACAGCAAATCATGACCCAAGTCCTTGGGGTCAGCCATGCTTGCAGGAGACCTGGATGCAGCTCCTGGCTCCTGATTTCAGCCTAGCCCAGCCCTGGCTGCTGCAAGTGTTTCGGGAGTGAACCACTGGATAGTTGTCTCTCTCTCTCTCTGTCTGTCTGTCTATCTCAGTCACACTGCCTTTCAAATAAATAGATCTCTTTTAAAATATAGAAGCACTGTGGCACAGCAGGTAAAGTTGTCATCTGCAGTGCTGGTATCCCATATGGGCACCAGTTTGAATCCTATTTGCTCTCTTTCTTATCCAGCTCCCTGCTAATGTGCCTGGGAAAGGAGCAGAGGATTGCCCAAGTGGTTGGGCCCCTGCACCCACATAGGAGACCTGGAAAAAGCTCTTGGCCCCTGGCTTTGGCCTGGCTCAGCACTGTTCGTTGCAGCCATTTTAGGGGGTGAACAAGTTGATGGAAGATTTCTCTCTCTGCCTCTTCTTCTTTGTCTGTAACTCTGCCTTTCTGACTTTCAAATAAATAAATAAATTTTTAAACAAATATAGAAGGTTGTAGGAAAATGTAAGTAAAAATTATTCACATTTTCCATGAACTTTGTGAGACCTCTGGTATTCATGATGTCTACCTCTCTGTGGAAGAGTATGCCTTAGGGTAGGTACTGAAACATCAACTTATTCTTCTAGGATAGAAAATACAAATGTAGGCTGGCACCGCAGCTCACTAGGCAAATCCTCCGCCTGCGGCGCTGGCACCCCGGGTTCTAGTCCCGGTTGGGGCACCGGGTTCTGTCCCGGTTGCTCCTCTTCCAGGCCAGCTCTCTGCTGTGGCCAGGGAGTGCAGTGGAGGATGGCCCAAGTGCTTGGGTGCCTGCATCCGCATGAGAGACCAGGAAGAAGCACCTGGCTTCTGGCTTTGGATCAGCGCCGTGCGCCAGCCGTAGTGGCCACTTGGGGGGTAAACCAACGGAAGGAAGACCTTTCTCTCTGTCTCTCTCTCTCTTACTGTCTAACTCTGCCTGTCAAAAAAGAAAGAAAGAAAGAAAGAAAGAAAGAAAGAAAGAAAGAAAGAAAGAAAGAAAGAAAGAAAGAAAGAAAGAAAGAAAGAAAGAAAGAAAGAAAATACAAATGTAGTTAACCAGTTCCCATTAGGGAATCACAGGGCCATTGTCAATTTACCCTTTGATTCTCTTCCTATTTTGAGGAAGATTTCTACAGGATCTCTTTTTCTCAGTTGGTCCTTACTATTCAATTCTTGTTTCCATTCTTTTTTCAAACTTCCCCCACATTCTGTTTTGATGTTTCTTCTTTCTTCTTTCTGAAAGCTGATTACAGAATTGGATCCAGACCTCCCTTCTGAAGGACTCTTCCCTCCCTACAAGCACAAGTCCAGAAGAGCTGACACAGGGAAGAGCTGGCAGGGCCCAGGCTTGACTTCAGGTGGCTAGCAACACAACAGCTGTCTTTGCAGATGTGTACAAACAACCCAAGCACAATGTCTACAGGAAACACACATGGTGCTAGCTTCTCCGGGGGTTGATCAGAACCAAGCCTTCACCTAGACCATGATATAGAGTTTACAGGGCACCAGTATAGCAGCAACTTCTGCATGAGTAGGGTCTTGTATGAGTTTCTCAAGTGACCCATAAGTGTATGATACCTTGGAGGACCACCCATCAACCACACATTGTCATCCCCAAGAGTAAGAGGGACAATTTGAAGAGTCTGTAGTTTAAGAACCCAGTTAGTGCTTAGATTGGTATATTCATTTCCAGAGGCTACTGCAATAAAATAGTGCAAACTTGGTGGCTTAAACAAAAGAAATGTATTTTCTTAGAATCCAGAAAATTCAAAGTCTGAGGTTCAAGGTGTTGGTACGGCTGGTTTCTTCTGAGAACCCTCTCTTTGGCTTGCAGTTGGCCATCTTCTTGCTGTGTCTTCCCATGGTCTTGCCTTTGTGTGTGCATTTTCCCTTGTGTCTTTGTGACCAAGTTTCCTGTTCTTGTAGGGCCACCAATCAGATGGGATTAGAGCCCACCCCCATGGCCTCATTTTAGCTTAATTACTTCTTTAGAGAGCCTATCTTTAAACACAGTGATGCTTCTCTATCAATAGGGATAAGTTGCATACTTAGGTGCTTTTGCCGTATCTTTGAACATCATAGAGTGTACTTGTGCAAACTTTGATCACACAGATCAAT